CCTACCCCCTCAACTCTCCCACTCCTACCCTCACCCACCAACCCCCCAAGCTCTTCCACCCCTCCGCTCTAACCCACCCCAACCCCCGCAAGCTTTCTACCCCCACCCCTTCAATCCTCCTAAACTCTCCCACCCCCAAACTCCTCTCCCACCCACCCACTCCAACCCCGTGATCTCTCCCCCCACAGTGGCATCCTGCCCTGCCCAGGCTGGTGCCCCGTTGCCAGGCTCCCCCGCCCGTACCGGTGATCTCCCCTTTCTGCACGGTGAGGGGGATGACGAGGTTGAAGGGCCGCAGCATGGTGTCCAGGCTCTCGGCGGGTGCGACGGGCTGGTCCGTGGCCTGGCGGGGTGGAGGGAGGGGGCAGAGAGAGAGAGAGAGAGCATTGACATGGGAGGCAGGGTGCCCGAGGCGGAGCAGGAGAGGAGCAGAGAGCGACAGGCCCAGGGCCCCGCACGGGCCCATGGGAGACAGAGCTGCAAGAGAAGGGGGGCATGAGGGCGCGGGCACCTGGTGCAGGTACCCAAGCTGGGTGGAGCTCATTGGCGGGAGGGGGGGAAATCACTGCACCCAGAGCTTTGGGGGGGACCCTCATCCCGTGGCCCCGAAACCCCCTCTTAAGGGTGTGAGACAGACATTGGTGCCAGCTCTGCATGGCCATGGCACACCAGGCACCCAGGGGATTCGCCCATGGGCAGATGCACGGGCACCTATGAGGGAGGGGCCGGTGGAGGCTGGTGCATGCCCTGCTGAGGGCAAGGGGGGCCCAAGCGAGCCCAGGGCAGAGATGGGGAGAGGCAGCAGGATAGGGCAGAGAGAGGCAGCAAGGCCGAAGGGAGCTCCTGGTACCCAGCGTGCTGGGGAGCCGCCAGCCTGGTGCGGCGAGAAGGGCTGGTGCAACTGGAGCGAGTCGCACGGCTCCTCGACGTGGGGGATGGTCTCGCACGCCTGGCGGGAGGCAAGGAACAGGTTAACGCGGGTGGCCATGCTGGCTCCACGGCTCATAGCCACGCTGCTGGGGGGTGCCCAAAAGGATCCCACAGCCCAGGTGCAGGGGTCGCTCGCCCAGCACCAAAATGCAGCCACCTCTGGGGTGGGATGCGGCAGCTGGCTAACAGCCCTGCAGCAACAGCGTCCAGCGAGGAAGGGGCCCCGCAGCCAAGGCAGGGCTCCCCTGCAGTGCCCCGGCCGGGGGACCTGTAACACCCAGGTTCCCCCCATGCTGAACGATGGCAGCTTGGGCAGCAAAGTGCCCCCTAGTGCCACCCTGCGGCACTGACAAGGGGCATACGCCCCCTCCTGAGCCCCCTCTCCCTGCAGCACAGCGCCCTCTAGTGCCGCACTGGGGCCAGCGCTGACCCCGACAGTCCCAGCGGGACCCCCAGCCCCCAGGTTTCCCGGCAGGTCTCCCCGCTTGCCGCCAGACCCACCAGCACGTGGAAGGGGCTGTTGGGGATGAGCTCGCCCCCAAAGCGGATGGTGATGACGTATTTGCCTGGCTCGGGCGCCGTGTAGTAGATGTCGAAGGTGCCGTCGTGGTTCTCCACCACGTCCACGTCCAGCTCGGCCCCATCCGGCGTGGACACCTTGCACGTCACCTTCCCCTTGCCCGCCGCCTTGGCGTCCACAGTGATCACCGTCTCCTCCCCGATCTGGATGGTGGGGCCCAGGCAGGCGCCTGAGGGGCAGAGGGGTATGGTCAGTGAGAGGGGACGGGTGCCAGGGGCCCCGCCAGCACCAGCCCCACTGCCCAGCCCAAGGGAGCTGAGCCTGGCTAGGGGTGTTGTAGGGGCCGGCCACCAGAGGGAGCCGTGATCCCTGCCCTCAGCCAGGGGTTCAAATCCCACCCCAGGCAGCCCACGCCCTAGGAGTCGGCTCAGAGCAGCCCGCAGAGGTCCAGGCATCCGGCCGCATTGCCCTGCTTAGCCTGGCTGTGCAGGAATGGGGGGCGGGGTGTCAGTCCCAGGTCCCCCCCCACAGCTCACAATGGCCAGAGCCGCCCACAGCAGCACAGAGCAGGACTTACCCAGTCCATGGCCCCCAATGGACACTGCAAAAAGAGGGAGGGAAAACCTGTGAGAACGCGGCCGGCCATGGGGCAGAGGCTGAGGTTCGGGAGTGAGGGGCAGAGGCCAGAGGCCATGTGGGGTGGGGTGGGGGTGGGGTGGAAGCCACAGAGGCCACATAGTGGCGCTGGAGGCCGCATGGGGCGGAGGCCATGTAGGGCGGGGGTCAGAGGCCGCATGGGACGGGGGCACCGGATGTCACATGGGGCAGAGTCTGGGAGCCTGGAGGGGGCAGGAGGCTGCTTGGGGTGGAGTCCGGGGGCTGCGTGGGGCAGGGGCTGGAGGGCACGTGGGGCAGAGTCCGGGGCCTGCATGGGGAGGGGGCCAGAGGGCGCATGAGGCAGGGGCCAGGGGCCACTTTGGGGTGGGGCAGAGAGTGCATGGGACAGAGGCCAGGGGCCATGTGGGGCGGAGTCCGGTGGCGCGGAGACCGTAGGGCGCATGGGGCGTGGGTCGGAGGGGGGCTGCGTGGGGTAGGAGCTGGGAGCCGCATGGGGCAGGGGCAGGGGCAGGGAGCTGCGTGGGGCGGGACCCACCTGTGACCAGGCACTTGCTGGCGTCGCCGCTGGGCTGGGCCAGGGTGCGGAAGGGCGAGAAGGGGAATCTCGTCGCCACCGTACTTGATGGTGATGGTGTAGCGCCCCGTCAGGTCGGGCACGTAGGACACCGTGTAGGTGCCGTCCCCGTTGTCCCGGATGTTGGCCTTCTTGGGCTTGCCCTCAGGATCCTGGCCGGGCACAGACGGGTCACAGCCACTCAGCTCCCCAGCCCAGGGCAGTGGGCAGAGCCTGGCCTGGGCGCCCTCCCTGCTACCCCCAAGGGGGCTAGTGCCCAGGGACGTAGCCCCATCACTGCCATGACCCCCCCCAGCCCGGTACCCCCCCCAACAGAGCCATGGGCCCCCCTAGCCCGGTATCCCTCCAACAGAGCCATGGGCCCCTCAGCCCAGCATCCCCCCATCAGAGCTGTGATCTCCCCAGCCTGGTACCCCCCCGCCCATCAAAGCTGTGACCTCCCCAGCCTGGTACCCCCCCCCATCAGAGCCTTGGGCCCCAGCCCCCAGTTGCAGAGCACCCCAGAGCCGTGCCAGCACTCACCAGGATCTGCACGGTGAGTAGCCCCTCGCCAGCGTCGCGCGCGTCAATGGTGAACTCCACGGGCAGGCTGGCGGGGATGCCCGCGGCACTGAGGCCCGGCCCGCTGGCCCGCACCTTGCTGGCATCGTGAGCCGGCAGTGCCTTGATCTTAAACGGGCTGGAAGTGGACAGGCCAGAGTCAGAGCTGGGCCGGGCCAGCACCGATCCGAGGGGGAACCCACCCCCCAAGCCCGGACCTGCTCCATGCACTGGCACTCGATGGCCCTGCCCCGAGCCCCAGGGGCGCGGGCAGGATCTAGGCCCTGCTGCCGCGCTGGTACCAGGAGCCCACTGCCCCCAGGCTGGGCCTCTGGGTCTGGAGGGGCCCCTCACTCACCTCCGCTGGCCTGCCCAGGGAGGTGCTAGGCCCCCAGGTCCAGGGGGCTGGTTCTAGCAGCCCAGTTGGTAGCCCTGAGCCAGGGGCAACGTCCCAGCCCGAGCCGGAGGCCGCTGCTGCCAGGGCGGGGAAGGGCCAGGTCTACACGGAGCCCTCAGCGAGTGTCGGGCCAGGACTGGCCGGGGCACGGCTCTCATACGTCTGCCCCCGGGAGCACCCAGCAGGACGGCCAGGTTGAGGGACTGGGCACAACTGGGCTTGGGGGGCTGCCTGGCAGGGCTGCTAGTGTGACAAAGTGGGAATGTTCTTAATGTTTTCTCTGAAGACTGTGTGCCTCAGTTTCCCCATGTGTTACTGGAGTGTCTAGGTGGTGGGATAAGGGTGTGTG